GCGGCGGCGGCGGCGGCGGCGGCACAGCGAATGTGGAGTAGAATCGCATTACGAGCAGGCTGAGTAACGGAGCGGGCGCGGAGCAGAGCGTATCGCGTGTCGTCTCCTCGTTGACGAGCGGTGTTCTCGCGCGGAATATTCCTAGTGCTCGTCAGTCGCGTGCTGACCAGCCAGCTTACCGTGCGTACCGCTCGAAAGTCTTCTCGCTTTTCCGTCACCGAGTCAGCTGTCTCGTGTCCCAATTTCAAATTCATCACAGAAACTCTTCGCGATAATTGATACAACGATTCTCGATCTCATCCACGTGTCGAATCTATACGATAGAAATCGAGAATTTAGCATTTAGATCGTAATCTAACGTATAGTATAATCCTTGACATTATAACACAACGTAAAAATTATATATACGCGCTATTAAGAAATTAACTTACGATTAGAAGGACGACAATCCGTACAGGTATATTTGAAGTGAAGTACATGTCTGAATGGTCTAGTTGATCGATTATGAACGGTTAACGAGGACGAGGAACGCGTGTGCGAACGATCGATCGAATCGGCTCGTAGGGTGGCGTTGGAAGTTTCAGTGATCGATTGGAACGATAACGCGGCGTGGATCCGGCTAACCGGTCGAAGGGAGGAACGTACATGAGCTCGATCGACGTTCGTTGCTTCTTGATGAGTCGCGTTCGACCGTCTCGGATCTGAGGATCCGATCGACGTCGAAGGGCCCCGCATTGTACCCTCGATTGAACTTCGACAGGGTGGAGTGAAGAAACGGGCGTACATGATGCTGAACGACAACGCGTGGAAGCACAGGCGGGTGCCTGTCCCAAAGAGGTTAGTTTCATTCGGTTCATTCTAACCCCTTGTTGTATTTCGTTCTGGTATTTCTTCGACAAAATATAACAGATCTTTATCTACGATACCTGTAATGTACTTTATCTAAGTATTTGTTTCAATAAGAGATTATATCACGTAGTACATTGTCGTTGGATTAAGTGGACGTTTATGGAAATTCATGTTTTAACGGATCGAGAAAGTACCTAACCTAAATAGAGATTTGTTTCATTAGATTTTAAAAAGACTTACTATGTACTGTATATACTGTAAGAGATACTTTGCGTTGCATATTTTCGATATTTTGACGTACGATGGGTGTTTTTTACAAATGTGTAAATTTTTTACAAATGTGTAAATTTCTATAGTTCAATTGTGACAGTACGTTTGTAATGAATAACGTTTCTTCTTAATACGATGTTATTGAAAATAATTCTCAATACGAAGTGATGGTTTGTGGTACAGGTGTCGCAGTCATAACCTCGTTCTTTCGTATTTTCGGATTTTCTGTATTTTATCAGAACACACTAGGTGGTCTGTGCATCAATTTCTTTGATTTTGTCATAATATATGTTATCTGCTATTTGACTCTATCGCGTATGTGTTTTAGCATAACCTAAACATAATCTACGTACATAACAACGTTAACGCGCATATTATTTCAACTTTATGCTACAGTTCTTAAAATATTAAAAGTCCTCTTATTCATTGAGACAAAAGAGCAACTGGAGCATGACATTTCGAGGAACGTCGTTGCAGCGATAATTTGTTTTTTGTGCCGAAAGTAGATTGACTAAAATACGATATCATCTCGTATATCGATCTGTTGCAAAAATTACCCACTAGGTCGTCTATGTATCATCGTACGAACTTTCAATTTCATTTTTACCAGCATGCATATTCCTAATTTTTTAAGGAATTTTTTCTTTTCTTTATTGCACTGTTGCACTGTTGAGTTAACCCTTTACGTTTCACTAAAAACCCTGCAGAGACATTGACATTGTAAAAATTGTTTATTTATTTTACTTTTGATTTATTTCTACCGATTATTCGGCGCATGTATAATATTAAAATGCGTACTATAAAAATAAAATAAATAAATTATATATATAAGACGATATCGAATTTTTACAACTTGTTTGAGTTAAAATTCAAATAATTCTATTTTTATATAAATCACTGTCGGACGGTTAAATTTGTTCAAAGAACATAAGCTTCCTCAGTTTACCGATATATAGTCTCAGTCGTACAATTTTCCGTGTTTTATTGTTGAAACGGTAACTATGATTGCTCCCAAGTAATTCTGTTTAACTGTTTGTCGCTCCAGGCGACTACTATGTCACTGAACATTTACCAGTAGACTGGCTGTGGTTCTTTATGTGATAATAAGTTTATTTAGTAAATGTTCTTTCTCATTATTTACGAGAAAAGCAATCAGTCTAAATCTAAAGATTAGAGGAAACGTTTTAAATATCTATTTAAAGGAAAAATAAAATTCCAGAATTTATCAAAATAATTCTGATAAATCGATAATCGTGATAAATGATAACCAAGTAATATAATAATTTATTAATTTCATAGAGGATTTCATTATTTTTATACTCAAACTGTGGTTTCTATCCTAAATTGCCAAGTCGCTGATAACTGTGAAATAAGTTTTTGATTCCTTATTTCTCAAAGTATCCTTTTCTCAACAACAATTTTTAGTACCGTAATTGTTGTACAAAGTTTAGTACAGCAATTCTTATATTTCCCAAGAGATTTCTTTATCTTTGTATCCAAGAAGTAACTCTCACTTCGGTTAATCGAAATAATCGATTGTCAATCCGCAGGGAATAGCTTTTATTCTCAAATGTTAAACCAGTAAACTTCCAACAATTCTATAATATAATTCTTCATTTTTACACGTGAAAGATAGCTATACTTATTAATTAAAATAATCAATATTCACTTTCAGAAAAGTATTTCTATTCTTGGTCGATGATCTAATGAAATTTCGTCGATTCTAAAAAGAACACAGTCGGCATCGATCGTACCGCAACTCTCTCATTCCATAAAAATTTGTTTCCATTTTTGCACCCAGAAACAAGATAGCTTTCCTCCTATCGAAATATTTTCGTAGAATTCGCGTTTCATGATAATTCCATTATCTGATAATATTCGCATTAACGTAATTCTCATTCAATGCTATTAAAACTTTTTAGAAGGCACAATTATCAAAAATGATACAAACCTCGAACGATTCAATTAGAAGATACTTTGCATGGCCAATTACATCGCTTATTACTTTGATCCTTCAATTGTCACTGTAACATTCTGCGAAAAAACCTGGAAGCTCGACGACTATGACAAACAATAATCGAACGTTATCGTTCCTCGTCTAAAAGCGATAAACTACTTTACTTTTGTATTTCAAAGGTAATTTCCATCCCTAATTGTCGTGGCAATAAAACACTCCGAATGGTAATAGCCTTACAATTATGACAAATCGTTATTAGGTGATGTAATCATGCAGTAAACCATTGAATATTCATCATAGTGATATCCCGGTGCGTTAGTACGCGTTTCGATTGAACTCTATCAGGGGCGAAGCGAGAAAGCGGTTGATGAATCGTCGTTGGTCCGGGCATAAGGCGCGAGAGTCGAGATCTCGTGTCTCGAATCGATTTATCAGCCGGCATTCGACGCGTTAAAATACTTAACCCCGGAATACCCGGCGGGTTCAACAAACGAATACGAAACTTCTGTTAATAGATACCTGTGCCTTTTGCTATCACATCGGCCGGCCGAGCTAGATTTATAGTCGAAGATCAAGGTTTTCTCTATTTTTTTCAACTAGCTTATGAATTATTAACAACTCTCGAATAGACCTTCGTCGTGATCTCTAGCTCAAAGATTTGATACAGAGAGAAATAGAGAGGAAGAGAGAGAGAGGGAGAGAAACACGTTCAAGTAGTATATTGGTTGTTATCGAAAGGTTGATTGAGGTTCATTCGATTCTTCGATTTTTGCCATCGTACGTTAAAGTCTGACGAGATTCTTCATTTTGTATGTCTGTGATTGCGTACGTGTTCGTTTCAGTAGTAGCATCGAAGAAGTCGATTATTGTCAGGGGATCGACGCTCGTCTTCCGTTAGGTTTAAATTTTTTTAATAACAAGTTTAATTTGGATTTTTTTAAACAGCAGATTCGATTTGGATTTTTTTTCAATATGAAACCCGATACGAAGTGCGAGAACAACGCGAAACATCAAAATTGATACAAATCCATAGATTCAAAAGGAAATCGATACAAAAATTATTTTGCTCCAAATGATATACTATTTTACGTCTTTTCTTGTCCTTAATATGATAATTTGTAGAAAATTAAACTTGGAATTTCTTCTAAACCACTGGATTTTCAATCATATTACCATAATACCATTTTACGTGGAACGAAGAGACGATTTTGCTCTGTGCAGAAAGGAATATATGCTCCGTTTAAAGAAATAGCGCAACTGCAAAATACACATGTATCATTGCACTCGCGAAAAAGATACAGTCGTGAAAACGTGTAGTCCTCCTTGAATCATTCATCTCTTGTCACCAATGTTATCCTCCAATTTCAACCAAACGAAAGAAATATAGCTTGTGCCATAAAAGTGCAATCTTCATGTTCACATTTCCCTTGTCTTTCGTACGATAAATTTTACAACATTAAAGTTAAAGTATCTTTTAGATTAATCATTATTCCACCAAAGTACCTTCATACTTTCTTTCGTACAGAATTAGAAAATGCTCGAATGGTATATAAAAAAATATTATAGTTCCATTTAAGAAAGTTACATTGGCATTGAGATCTCTTTAAACAAAATCGAAATATCTTATTAAGTTTTTCCCTACAAAGTCAACTTTCGTTCAAAATATCTCTTCGCATTTCTCATATTTACAGAAACAAATGCGTACGTTTAACATACTGTACGTATATACGCGAACTCCAATTAACTGAACGAGAACTCATAGGTGTTGGACAAAAATACGTGGACCTCTATTATACTAACGACCTGGTTATACGAACCAATTTGTCTCGCGAAATGTTCGCATAAACGGTGTTCTACTGCGCAAATAATGAAAGACAACAAAGGACAAAGAAGAAAAAAGAGGAAGCAGAAGAATTTATGCATTCGACTCTTCCGAGTTTCCAAAATTAATGGGAATAATTGGTCGACGATGCAACCGGAAGCATTCGAAACGAACATTGTTCCCACGAACGTCTATGGCTTAAACCTTCATCCATTACTCAACGGATTCGCGCAGAATAATTACTCGAACCGCGTTCACAAAGTTTCATTGAACGGGGAGAGACTGATCGAAGCATTCCTAAATGACGTTTAGATACATCACTTCGACGAGCACGACGGTGTAATGGATTAAAGGTTATCCAACAAGGTCTGCTGCAACTGTACCGAACAAATCGATCCATCACGTTGATTGGACGTCGGAATAATGCGAATTGTAGGAGAATCGTGAACGGCCGATTCGTTTGTGCATTTTCGTCTTTTGTAGATTTGCCATTATTTCCTTTTTCTTTTTCCTTTTTTCTTTTCGTGTACGCGCGACTACGGACACGAGCCACACGATGACAACTTATTTAACGACGATTCTTCTCGTCGGCGTTTAACTTTTATGAATCGTAACGAAGAATATTTGAATCGCTTTGCTCTGTTGAGATAAGAATTGAGTGAAAGAAAATATTAACTTTAACCCTTCAACTGCTCTGTCCCTTTAATTGGACATTTTTATTCGCCGAATGAAAAATTACAATAACTTTAATTGTATTGGATTTTTACTTCTCGCTTGTATAGATACGGCATAATTCGTTTTTAACACTAGAATCACCGATAGTTAACACGAAGCTATTTTTATCAAAACCAGTCAAAATGACTGGTCTTTAAAAAATACGTAATAATAGAATATTTTTATATTTATTGATTTATTACTTTCTTACAGAAGCAATTCCAT